GGTTTTGGTAAGGATGAATGAGGCTTTGCATTGCCATATGCAGTAGCATTTTGCTTGCAGTGTTGAAGGGCTCTGTCCTATTAGAATTTTTATTTTGTGATGTCGGTGGTAACATGTACAACCGATTTCTTCTGTACATAGCTTTTGAGCGTCTACATTATGATTTTGAAGTGGGCCTGTTTGAGATTGGATCCGGCCAATATTGCTATGATCAAACAGGTTTGGTACTACTTGAGTGTAGACATTGTATATATTGTACACTTGAATATAACTGATAATATGCCTGATATGATCTCTATTATTTTGTATGAAGGTCATTGCGAGCTGAATTATGTGATTTTTATACCATGTTTGGGGAACATAAAAGTGTGTGTACCAAAGACCAAATCCTTGCCCTTAGTCCCCTTTCCTTCTTTCCATATGCTATATATACCATTGTACGTTTGTTCAACTGCCGAAAAAGAATAATAATGATATTAATTGGTTTTGGGAATGTGTTCCAGTGATAATATGATTATCAATGACAGAAATAAAAATGTACTATAACTATAGATCTAATACATCCAACGGTAAAAATGTAGTGAAGATTATATACTAATATAATACATCCAACGATAAAAAGGTAAATAAGATTATATACTAATAAAAGGTATATTAGACATTTTAACTTTCACATATGTCCCTCCACGTTGTCGAATGTCCCAAATCAAACCCGGACACCATTCTGGGTCGATTCCCGAGCTATCCTCTGATTCCTCCCAAGATGGGAGCTTGGAATCGGAATTGGAGATGGAATTGAGACTTTGAGCGTGTTTCTGATGGCGCCACGACAGTGGTCTGGGCTGAATTTTGAGGAGGGGCAGTGGTCGGGAAGGAGAAGAGGGTGAGAGGCTGTTGTTTGGAAATTAGATAACACACAAGGACTTATCTACAATTTCAAGAATTTTAGCTATGTTGCAATTTAGTACATATGCCAAATTTGAAATTTATAAAATATATAATAAATGCACAATAATGTTAAGTACAATGCACAATATTGCGTGTGTATATTCACATTAACAGTTCAAAAATTTACGAAAATGTCACCGCGCTACAGAGTGCACAATAGTGCTAGACGAAATGAACATTAATGCTTGTGAAAATATACAATAGTGTAACAATGTATTATGCACAATGATAAAACCCGGCGTTAAAAATTAACGCCGAAATATTGATAGGTAAAAATTAACCCGGCGTTAAAAATTAACGCCGAAAAGCCATTCCAGTAAGCTTTTCATTTAGAGCAGGTAGGACTTTCACCACTGCCTGTAGAACAGAATATACAATATTAAAAAATGTTCAACGTGCCATACTTCTTTTATTTTCCTATGGCCATACTTGATCTTGAGAAAGTAAATCCAAATCCAGTTGCTCCAACAGTTTTAATGGTGAAATCAAATAAAAAATCTGACAAATCGAACACAAATGTAAGCTAAGACTACAGCAAGTTCAGTACATCACATTATCATTTATCACAACCACAATTAAGTAAAAATTCTCGAAACCAGCAACTAATCAAGAAACGAATCAATACCTCAGCAATAACGAATCGTCGTAAAACGTGGTTCCTCCACTAACCAGCTTCACAAAGAACCAATTT